GCTGTTGCATCAGACAAGTTGAGACTGCAGCCCAGAGTGGGTCCCCAGGTGCAAGTTACAGTAGGGCTCCCACCAGGGATGCTGAAGGCAAACAACACTGAAACGAGAAGGGAAGAAGCATTAACTGCTCTGAGAATCGGGCCCTGCTACGCTGCTACCATCTCTGGAAGGAGGCACGATGCAAGCCACAAACGCAGCCACCCCAGTCTCAAGAGAAGACAACATTACTTAGCCATAATAGCCCAAAGAAAACAAATACTGCTTGTTTTTTCATTCCAACTTCTGATTTCTCTTAAAACAGAACAGCCTTTTGTAGGTACTGGGGTAAGAGGAAGGGTGTGGAGGGTCACAGATTAACCTCCCTCCTGCTAGCAGTCTCCAGGATCCTCCCCACGAGGACAGCAAAACAGGACGCCGAGCGCCCACGGAGCCTCTGCTCTTGGAGCAGTTGCTCTCGCTCTGTGGCACTGTGTGCCCCATAAGGAGCTGCCTGTCGCAGAGTTCCCTGCCACACTTCCCAGCAGTATTTAAATACTTTCTCTATGCAATTAGTAGGCATCATCTCTGATGCGTTTGGGAGAATCTGGAACTTTTATGTAATGTAATTATTTTTCTCATCTTCTGTTCTAGTCAGTGGGGACTGTAGTGGTGTCACAGTTTCCAGTTTCAGTCTTAAAACAGAAGAACTCTTATAACAAGAATGTAAAAATAATCCCTGTCTAAAAGAAAAGGGGAAAGAACTCAATTCATAATAAAACTTGCTTACCCGCATGCATCTCTTCTGTCCTCACTCTCTCTGCCTATTTCTCTGATTTCTTCCCTCTCTCTCTCTCCCCACCTTTGTACTGCTATTAGCAAAAGAGACTTCAGCTGCATGGCTCCAAACACCTGATTCAGCTCCTCTCTCCTTATAAACACTACTTTAAGCCCCTCAGACTGGGTGGTTTTCTCTCTTGCCTGCACCTCAGAAGTCCTCTATGCACCTTCAGAGTTTTCTCTGAAGGTCTTCAGGAGCATTGCCAGATTGATGTACGGTAAGCGCTTTGGCTAGATTGCATGAAAGATGTAATAGGAAGTAGACCGACTTGTAGTGCAATCTAGCTTCATAGTGTCCCAACTACTTCTACTAGCCAACCCCCCCTCCTCCAACACCACCCAATTAAACAAAATTGGATCGTAACTGGAGGATCTGTTCTGGCCAAAGAAGTCAGGTCTCTGTCACTGCTGGAACCATAAACGTGTGTTTTTAACGTTACGCTCACAGATACTATCAAACAAGCGGACAAGCTGAAATCCTGGTCCTGTAAAGGAGCAGACGCTTGTGGAGCCCCTCACACAGCCAGAGTCTAAAGCTTTAGGATTGAAACCAAGTGTGACCTATGAGAGTAAGAATTAAAAACGTTAACACGTGCGATGAAGGGACCAAGATGGTTCAAGGTATTAATAGGTAAGGGCTCTCAGGTATTTAAAATAATACCACCAAATTAGATGGCACCAATCACTGGTTTTAGTTGAAAACAGCAACAACAAAAAGGCAACAATCCAACAAAACCTTGGGCCACAGAAAACATTCTCACAACTGTAAGCAAGAAGAGAAAGATGAGAACTCAAACAACACTAACAGAAATAACCGCTTTCAAATAAGTAAGATCGACCAACCTTTTGAACGCAGCCCTTCACTCTGGGGGGG